AAGTTCATACTGCATAGATCGGAACAAAAGTTAAATTTTAATCTATGGTAACCGCGGTTAACTATGACATATGGACGTTGAACATCTCAGTCCTGCCCGTGACCATGAGTGCTGTAAAGCGTTCGAAACGTCGGGTATTTAAAAAGTTAAATATACGCGATAAATTCCGTAAAAACTAGTATTATTTCAATTTCGCAATAACTTTACAAAAGCGTACTCACACGATTTAAAATAACCTTTTACGTAAATCCGAAGAATTATGAAGTTATCTATATTTCATTAAAACCTGTACAGTTTTTTATCACTAATTTAAATTTGAATCTCTAAAACAAAGCAAAATATTAAAAAAATAACCAGTATCAACTTTTTACTTGACGTCGTTTTAATGACATGTCGCTATGTATCTTACCGTAGTGTTTGATGATTAAAATTGTTATGCGAATAATCGGCAAAATATTCAAATAATCGGTAAAAATATTAATAAAATCATTGATTATTTTAATGATGATATATATAATTATTTGTTGAACTAAACTTTTATTTTTAAAATTCCTTAAATTACATGAATCATGAATAAAACAAGTTTATTTATTTTTACTTTGTCAACGTAAATTTGTGTAGTCAAAAAAAACTCACACACAAGCTGCGCTGAAAAAACCACTACGTAATTTCAATCTTCTGCCATTTCGGGAGCTTACTGTGCGTTATTTTGCGATTTTGTGTTTGTCTTCTTATTTTGTGACTTGGCTTTGACTTTCTAGACTTTTTTTCTATATTCGTTGAAGCAGGTACCCATGTCACAAAGGATGATTGGGCAAAAGTGGTATAAAAAACAAAAAAAATTATGAATGACTTTGAAAGAGACTATTAGACGAATTTTGACTGCATTATTGAAAATAAAATAATAATTAATCTAAACAACTACAGCTCAACTAGTTGTATTGAAAGTGATTGAATAATTTTATTTTTAATCTAGTTCCAAGCTAAAAGTTTTATAACTGTGTCTCTAGAAATAACAAATACGAAGAAACTGATAAATCTTGTGTTTTAAATTATCCTCTTTTAATGTGTTCTGGTCTTACTTAAACCAAACTGTAAATGATTACTAAGTCTAAATAATCGATATCGATTTTTTTAAGAATCGAATATTGCACTTTCGCATTTTTTGGTTGGCATGCTTGGTGCAATAAGTCTGACAGCTGTTAAAATGTATTTCTTGGATTTGGTTGACTTTAGTTACCTTTATTCTATAAAAAGGTGAATTTTGTCGTGTGAGGGCAGGAAGCTTAAGGCTCTGCGGTGGCACAGTGTGACGGCTCATCCACTTCATTTTAATATAGTCACAATAGACAATAGCTATCACATACGTCATACTTGTAAACAGGTGCTGCTTGTGGGGACTGGACTGGTCGGGTACGCTATAGTGCATAATCCGGTTACCGATACGTCTGTTGTTTTCTATTTAATATATAGTTATGCATCCCGGTATTCACGGAACTGCACCGGAGACCATAACAATTCAAGCGTAAGCGTGGGCGTAGATTGCTGAATTGCGTCTGGAAGACGGGTCTTTCCTGTGGATACTGATAACTGTTCTTTAGCTTAAAGATCTAGATAAGAATTAAGATAGTCTTAGTTTGGCTCGCACATGTATCGGACATGTAGCCTTAGGTTAGAATCCATCGCGGATTAATTAAGTAGTATATAAGTAATGTATCGCACATTAATAGTTATAAGTTTATTATATTAGTATGTAAGAAGACTCCCAAATCAGTCGTCGTGAAGCAGTTTACGGTACCGTCTTACACTTTCGCGAAATCTACGAACCGAAATAAATTTGTTGAATTCGAAACAGGACATCAAGAAAGAAGACTTCCTAGCCCAGGTGAAAGGGTGAGTTCGAGTGTACTGTGAGTAAGCCTTTTCACGTCCATCTCTGTTCCCATCTATTTTTGCATGTTAGAATTATAGTGTTATTCGATTTTTCTTAAATCGAACAAAATAAATTGCACAAGCATAGGCAATTTATTCTATATCATTAAGTTTAATAATTAAGTATTGAAAATTAATTTGAAATAAAGAAAATTTATTAAATTTTGTTATAAAGAATAAAAATTACATAATTATAGAAATAAAAGGATATATTAAAGAAATAAAATTAATAATTATATAAATTAAAATTAATAATTAAATAAAATACAAAATTAATTAATGATTAAATATTATATGAATTGTGTTATTAATATTAAATAAAATGGAACAATTACGTGTAATACCTAAGGATTTACTTTGTCTTATACCTAAGTTTGAAGAAGAGGAAGGATTATTAAATTTATTTATTAAGAAAGCTCAATAAATATACAGGTCTTTCGCAGACCCTAATAATGCCACACAAACATTATATGTATTCCATGCGTTAAGCAGTCGATTAACAGGTAGAGCAGCGCATTTTTTAAGTGAGCGTGATGATATTAATTGTTGGAATACGCTTATAGATATTTTAATTCAACATTTTGGCGATCCCCGTTCTGAACCGTACGTAACCGAGGAAGTGAATTTCATTAACCAATATAATGCGAAAAATAAAACGAAACAGAATATAACATCCCAAAATTTCAAACCCAAACAATGTGTTAATATTTTACCTAATAATAATCATTCATATTTTAAATTTGCAAATCCACAATTTGGACCACAAAATAAATTACAAATGCCTAATAATAATTTTAAATTTGGTATTCCACATCAGCAACAAGGTCAAAGATTTGTTGCTCAAAATAATTTTAATAATGGCCCAAGTTTTAATAATAATACGGGACCACAGAACTTTAAGTTTGTTATTCCAAACCAGCAACCTAATTTTAAATTTGGCATACCTCAACAACAGCAGGGCTATAAGCCACCCATGAATAATCATGCGCAACCCCCACTAGCTTTTACAGATCAACCCCAAAATAATTTTAAATTTGGTATACCCAATCAGAATTTCCAAAAACAAAATTTAAATGAAAATACCGATGTCTCTATGCGTACTGCACGTCAGATAAGACAAAATATCCGAGATGACTCTAGGGTTCCTCAAAATAACCCCCAGTTTGAAGTCGAACCGTATAGTCAAATAGAAGAAGCAAGTTACAACCCTGATATAATTTCGAATGATACTAGAAATTTTCAAACAGAAGCCTCCTATTCACCCCCGAAATAATACAAATAAATTGTGACACAATTTTAAAACTCCAGCACATCGAAATACTGGAAATTCAGGCTCGTTTTATGATAGATACCGGAAGTACGCGATCTTTTATAAGCCCCCTATTTCTCCGCTTTCAAATTATAAGAACCTTTCGAAGTATATAAATGTATTGATCGATGAGCTTAGCAGAACTGGCGTCGGATGCTCAATAGATGGTAACTTCGTAAACAGCATCAGTTACGCGGACGACATGGTGCTGCTGAGCCCTTCGATCAGAGCACTTGAAACATTAATAAATTTATGTGAGAGATATGCGGAGGCCTCAGGGCCAGGATGGCCTCAGGTACAAATCCAAAAAGAGTGAACTACTTGTTTTCAAGGCAGGGAATAAAGAACCCAAGGATATCCAGGTCACCACCGGTCATGCTTGTAGGAGTACCTTTAAGTAGAGTCAACAAATTTAATTACCTGGGGCACTGGGTTACAGATGACCTCTCTGATGACTTGGATATTGAACGAGAACGTAGAGCGTTAGCAGTGAGGTGCAACATGCTGGCTCCCAGGTTTGCAAGGTGTACAAAAGCTGTCAAGATAACCCTTTTTAAGGCGTACTGCCAAACATTTTACACCTGCAGCCTGTGGGTCAAGTATACTCGCAGATCCATAAATGCTCTACGTGTTCAATATAATAATGGCTTTAGGATGCTAATGGGGCTGTCTCGATATTGCAGCGCATCAGGTATGTTTGTTGAGGCTAACACGGACAGCTTTGATGCAATAATGCGGAAGAGAGTGGCCTCCCTGATGCGACGCGTGCGAGACAGTGCCAACGGACTCCTACGTACTGTATTAGGTAGGTTTGATTGTCCGGTAGTGCGGCACTGGAACACTGTGCATATGGGGTCCAGAGCTGTTATATTTAATATAAAATAAGCATTGTTGTTTTTTAGTTGTATATTTATTAACATTAATTTTAAGTTTATATTATTTATTACTAACAAATTATGGAGCTTGTATCTGAAATAAAATTATTACTATTATTATTATATTATTATTAAAATAATTAAAAAGTTAAAACTAAAATAATCATAAATATTATAGTGAAATAGTACTAAGAACGACAGCATTTCCTCTCATAAAGATGTACGATGATTGAATTAGTTAACTCATAAAGTGCCAACTCATAAAAACTGAAAGTAGCAACGAATAAGGGCTGAAATGCTGCCACGCATACGAGAATCGATCAACACATCGGTTTGTGTTCGTTATAAAAGTTGTGTACAAGAAATTAATTAAATAATTACATATTTTATATATTATCGACATCACAGCCAATTAGAAAGTGCTGCCATGTTTGAGGAAGTGTTAACACGCGTGGTTATGTATGAAATTAACTTAATTTAACAAACAGAAAAAAAGTTGTATATCGTAATTTCGTATAGGCCTGATAAAAATTATTCAGACGAGTGTTGGTGACTTCCTATAACTGTCTGGTCGATCTTGTAATCCCATTGCAAATTTGCTTACTAAGAACAGTAACAAATACTTTTTTATATTACGTACTAAGAGGTAACAATGGGTTAAAATCTCATAACTTTCTATTTAACTTAAATGTAACTAATTTCACCATAAATAATAATTTTCGTATAAACAAAGAAAAGCAGAAAGCTCAATTGCAATGACCTCTTAATGTACATAGAACGAATGCATTTTCACTAAAGGTTAGCAGAGTACGCCGAACAGGAAACAGTATATGCGACAAAGATATTAAAATCTTGTTACTCATATATTTTCTTTTTTTTTTTAGCTTATTTTGGGCATATTAACTGGTATATTGCATACTTTGGTGGCAAAACAAGAAATAGTCCTTAGTATTGTACCTGTGGATATTGTCGTTAACACTGTAATAGCTGCTGGTTGGGAAACTACAAAACAGCAGACCAACGAAGACGATATTAAGATTTACAATGTCACTAATAATCGTAGTCCCATGCTTTGGAGTAAGTTTAAAATAAATTATTGTTTATAATCGTAGCGTTTTCATTGCTTGCTGCTTGCTCACTGGTCTCTGTCAATAAAACAACCAAATAATTTTGGAGTTAAAATATGAAATTGGCGGTTTATTTTGTAAAATTAAAATGTATTTTTTTTAAAAATGTATTTAATTAATCGAAGTATTTACTGTAATCTCGAGGGCAAATCATATCGTTCCGATAGAACTTCTCGATGGAAATCTCCAAGTCTATGAAGGAATTTTGTCCGCTTCCTGAGAACAATTTCATGTCCTTGCAGGAAATTTTCAAATTAGCGAAAAAGTCTAATAGGCTATTAATACACTGGATCTCAAAATGCTTACATTACTTTTCATAGGTGAGATTCGCTTTAAGCTTCTGATTATTCCGATATTTGATTTAGGTTTAATCATTGCATCAAAAAAAGCGCAAAGCGTTCTCTAGTCGTATCCTCTCCAAAAGCAGCATTGATATTGTGAGCTTCCAAATAGCACTGAAATTATATATATATATAATAATTCATTAAATAGCACTGCAAAATAAATACTACTAGCAAGTCACACCTTTTGCTATTCATCGACAGCTGTCTCAAGGCTGAGGGAAACACTGTTGATATATACTTATATTATGTATTATATTACATTTCAGAAGATTTAAGTAAAGTTTTAAATATACATTTGAGGAATTTAGTTTCGCCACGTACAATCTGGTATTGTTTCGTAATAGAAACAACAAACGAAGTCATTCATTTAATATGTACTTTGTTCTTGCATTTCATACCTGCATTCTTTGTAGATAGTGCTTGTAAATTATTGAATAAGCAACCAATGTAAGTACGAGTATTTAAAATTTATTTGTTATATTTTTTGCTTGACACATGCAATAATTAAACATTTTTTTCAGACTTACAAAAATATATAAAAAGTTTACAAACTATCAAACATAACAAAATATTATAAGATAAATAGTTGGAATTTCCAAGACGACAACGTTCTCAAGGTTTATAATAATATGTCGAAATACGACCAAGAAGTTTTCAACTGCGATATGGCCACCGTAGACTTTAAACAACTGGCCGTGATTTGGACTTTCGGCGTTCGCAAGTATATCATCAAAGACGGTCTTCTAGGTACAGAGCAGGCGATTAAAAGACAATCCTGGCTAAAAATAATAACGTACGGTATATTGTGTCTATATATTTATATATTTTATAAAATATTAATTATGATTTGTGGAACTGTTGTTGGATTTTCTGTGTAGTTAAGAATATTTTAATGCACTTAGATGATATTGTACTTATAAAATCATATTTATAAACGTGACGTAATTGTATGTTTTATGGACCAAGTGATTAAATAAAGCACTGTTTATGATGCCCAGAAAATATGAATAATCTGCAGTTTGTGAACACGTACAGAATTGCCCCCGTCACTACATCAGGTTTCATAGACCACAAAGATGATTCCCGAGGCTATTGAAATCGAAAAATATTCTAATTACAATAGATGGCTGGGTGCTACAATCTGCTTGGAATCCTATAATTATTAAATTAAATCCCAGCCCAAGCATACAACTGCAAGACTTCGAGATGTTATTTTATCCTGCGTAGATCGGAACAAAAATTAATAATTTTAATCTGGAGGTAGCCGTAGTATGTTAGGACGTTTATTAATTAATTAAAATAATATCAAGCAATACTAAAACACGAAAACTTAATTTGATTAGGTTAGGTTTAGTCATATCTTGACTTGGTACGTCATTTTTATAAATCAGAATCTTAAGAAAAACCTTGAACTGCACTCCTGCTATTCCGTTACCTCTTATTCAATGCATTGCAGGTTAAGCAATCGGTATTATATAGAATACCTAGGTAAACAATGTAATAAATAATATTTTATACATTGTCTGAATTTTTTATATGTTAAAAACTCACGCCTGTCAAATACGTATACGAGGAATTTTACGCTTAACTCACCCATTCTTATCCCATATTTTTTAACTTTCAAAGTTTCCAAACGACTGTCTATAAATAGGTTGATTCTACCAACCTACTGCTCAAACCAAATGAGTTCAGAGTTTGCCATAACACATCCCTTTCCACTCTGTAATAAGCCTTTTCCAAGTCCATGAACGCATAAAAGACTTTTTTGGTTTTTGGTAAAACACTTCTCCGTGATCATGCGCATGGAAAAGACTTGATCCGTACACCCCATTACCTTTATAAATCCAGCGTGCACATCTCGAATTTATCCATTAGTTTCTTTCATAACTCGGTATTTTTTTTAGTTATTCGTAAAATACCTTGTTATTCTATAAAAGTAACGTTATAACAAGTAACAAAATTTCATTATTTTATTGGTTTTTATCATACTGGGCTTTCTTCATATTGCCCGAGCATTATGAACAATGTCCAATTAATCAATTGGTCCATAACTTTATATATGTCTTTATTTAAATTCAAATAAAATTGATACAATTTTATTACGAAAAAAATTTATATTTTTTCAGTATAATAACCTAATTTTTCAGTTTTGTATTTACAATTCCATATAGAATAAATTTTGGGGTTGGTTGAGCGACGGGCCTAAGGTTACCGAATTCCAATTCCCCGGTCGAGCCTTAAGCCTATTACGCGAGATGTTACACCAAATGGACTGTATAAGCGGATAGCTTCTTCTGTCTCCACAAAATGGCGACTATAGCATGCGGTTTTCCTGACAATGCACTCGCTTTTCCCTAAACGAGCTATTGCTTGCCAAAGTCTATGAAGGAACCCCGTTTGATCACGCTAGGAGAAAATGAAATTGGAGCGGATTAACTAATAAATACAATTATGTCAAGCGGGCTTGTAACTGGAAGTTACTCACCGGGGTGTGGCTTCGATGCGGCTTGGGCGCTTTGTTGCTGCGGTGCGACTTCTGGCGGATTCTCTGGGGCCCCAGAGATGCGTTCCTGTCCGGTGATGCGATGGAAGAGAGCGGTGCGCGACTATGTCTCACACGAGGTGAGGCGGTTACTCCTGGAACGCGACTGTTCCAGGCGTGGTGCGGTTGAACTAGCGGTGCGCGTGGGCAAGAATCCTCTAGGACGCTACTGTCCTAGGCGGTGTGGTTCCAACTAGCGGCCAAAGGGAAGAGAGTGCACGTAGGCCGTGCGCGCGTTTATATTACTTCGGTTGCGAAGATCAAGTGACATTCTAGAACTATCTTCTTTCCCCTCTCATCCCACCACCCCGGTGTGTCAATAGGGACAACAGATGAAGGAAAGGTCGAAGGAAGGACAAATCTTGGCAAGAATACCGTCGAATAAATTAAAATTACGAATGGTTTTCCGCGCAACCATCCCCCCCGGCTTGAAAGATTTCCTTCAAAAAATAACAAAAACAACTAAAGCTAAGATCAAACTAACAAAATAACTAACTATAGCTAAGATTAAACCTGAATTTCGACTACAATTTCTAATCTAGAAAGCTAACTTAATCTATGGAAGAGGCAAGGGGCACAAACGGACAACAGGACGCATGTAAGACCCAACCGTGGTCTTAACGCGAGATACCCTAATTACTCCGTCGGAACCGGGAAAAACCTCTTCGACAATCCCTAATGGCCAATGGAAAGGCGGCGTATTCTCTTTGGTGAGCACAACCACAGTTCCGACTGTTAAAGGTTCAGTTGCTGTGTTCCATTTTTGCCGAGACTGCAAACTATGCAAGTATTCCATCCTCCATCGTTTTCAAAACGATTGCACTAACCGGTCTAATAATTTATGGCGTACGGAAATGCTAAGTTTGTTCTCGTCCATATCTACGGCGGGCAAATACTTCAAAGGCGTTAAATTCAAAAAATGTGCTGGAGTTAGAGCCAGCGGCTCCGAGGGGTCACTAGACAACGTACGACAAAGTGGGTGACTATTCATTACGCACTCAATTTGAGCGAGCACAGTACTTAGCTCTTCGAAGGACAAAATTTGATCTCCTATTACTATCATCAATGACTATTTAGACTCTTAATATTAGTCTCCCAATTGCTCCCAAAATGGCTCGCGGCTGGGACGTTCAGAGACCACTCGAAGCGGTTCTCGGCTAGAATGTGAGCGTACTCCGAATTATAATATTTGCTAGCTAAGAGCTCATGTAGTTCTGATAAAATACGTTTCGCACCGACGTAGTTCGTACCGTTATCCGAATACAATTTACTTACAGGGCCACGGCGGGAAAGAAATCTTTTAAACGCACCCATAAAGCCTGCTGTGCTTAGATCACCAACAAGTTCTATATGCACCGCACGAGTAGTTAGACATACAAAAATGCAGACGTAAGCCTTTGTGGATCTTATACCACGCCCGCGAGTGAGCGTGATCTTAAACGGACCAGCAAGATCAGACTCGGTATGTGTAAAGGGCTTTACGGATTGTATTACTCGACAAGACCCAAGTTCCGCCATTTCCGGAAATGACGGCTTGGGACCTACCCGAAAGCAACCTATACATCTGTGCACTCGATTACGGATTAAGTTACGTGCGGAAAGAATCCAATAACAAGTGCGGAATTCATGATATGGTCTTTACGCGGTAAAAGTATAGAGTGCCGTTGGTCGAAACTCAACTGCGAGTTGGACAAGCGTCCACCTACCCTGACGATCCCATCTTGTAAAAATGGCTTAAGGCGTTGAAAAGCGCGACTACAAGCTCTATTCGATTGTAATCTTGTAATTTCTTCGGAAAAATGTGCACGTTGAAGTTCACGCAATACCAACAACTCGGCATAGTTGTAATCGGACGCGGTAAAAGCTTCGCGAATCGACAAACGTAAATTACGCTACGCAATAATTTCGACCAAGAGGACAAGCGGTTCGTCAAAGCAATGATTGGAGAAACCTCGCTCGAAACGCTCGCCACCAGAGCGTGCCTCTTCTCTTCCAGCGGTTGTGACACTGACGAAGGGTCGAAATCGGTTATTGGCCATTGCGAGGGTTCCAAGTGAACCCAAGAAGGTCCGTGGAACCAAAGCGGATGGTCCATTATTTGCATCGGGGTGAGTCCACGGGATAGGCAATCGGCAGGGTTTTCCGTACCGGACACGTGATAAAAGTTCCGCGTTCCTAACTCCTCTTGGATCTTGGCCACTTGGTTCGCGACAAACGTATCCCAACGGTGGGGTGAAGAATGAACCCAACATAAAGCGACGGTGGAGTCGGAAAAGGCAAATATCCTTTCTATGTGAACTCTGTCCCTACATGCGCTGATAACTGCGGTAATAAGCTTGGTGAGGACTAATATTGCGCAAAGCTCTAAGCGCACCAGAGAGACAACCTTACAGGGGGAGACTCTTGACTTAGAGCTAATGAGGCTAATCGAATTTCTACCATTATTCTGGAAGTGGAAATATACAACTCCCCCATAAGCTTTCTCGCTGGCATCCGCAAACCCAACGACCGTAATAACGCTATTTTTATCGACGTTTATATGACGTGGTATTTTAATTTCTCTTAGTAAAGGAAGTTCCTCTCTAATCGAACTGCCACAATCGAACAATGCTGTCAGACGGTGAGTCATCCCAATCGCATTCACATAACCAAAGTTGTTTAATCAAAAGCTTAGCGTATAATAACACCGGAGCTACGAAACCCATGACATCCCATAATCTAGCAACGCATGAAAGTATTGTGCGCTTTGTGCACTTCTCTACCGGCGGGTTTACCTTAAGGCTAAACACGTCGGACTCTGGTGACCAACACAGACCGAGCACCTTGTGCGTATCAGAATCGTGGAATTCCTTTATCGCCGAAAGATGGTGTGATAGTGGGATTGTGTCTAAAACCGGACGCGAATTACTAGTCCACTTGAAAAGATCGAATTGACCCGATTTCATGAGCTTTATAACCTCGGCGGTGGTCAGGGTGGCCTCCTCCACGCTATCGACTGAGTACACAAAATCATCCATATATAATCCACTTTCAATTGCCCTCTTAGCTTAAGGATAAGAGGGACCTTCATCGTGGGCGAGCTGACTCACCGTGTGTAATGTATGAAATGGGCTCGACTTTAAACCAAATCAAACGCGGTTAAATTCAAACACCATTAGAGGTTCTTTTGGGTTGAAACGATATAAAATGCGTTTAAGTCTACGGTCGCATTCACGGACCCCTATGCAAAGAAACATTTGGCGAATATCGGCGGATAGTGCTATACTAAATCAACGAAAATTGGCTATTATATAAAATAAACTGCCCTGTAAATTTTGCCCACATAGAGGATATCGTTAAGCGACAGGTGAGTGCTAGTTTTAGCACTAGCGTCGAGCACTACACGTAACTTACATGTAAGTTTGTCCTCCCTAATGACCCCGTGATGTGGTATGAAATACGACGGACTAATTTCGAGGCCACAAGTGATATGTAACCTTCCCTTATGTATTCGTTAATGACGAAGTCATAAGCTTCTTTTAACTGTGGTGAAGCGAGCATCCTACGCTCCAAGCTGTAGAAACGTTTTTCTGCCATTTGACGCGAATCTCCGAGAGATAAAACATCTCCTTTAAAGGGTAGCGCTACACTATATCGACCGTCGCGATCACGAACGATCGTGCGGACGTAAATTTCCTCGCACACTCTATCATCTGGGCTAACTATAGGTGGAGCGTTCACCTCTCCCATCTCGCAAAATTTGCGGACTAACGACTCGAGCGGTTCGACAGCTATACAACAATAAGAGGTTGCCGAGATACTATCCATGGGGGTGGGGCGGAGCCAACGATGACATAGCCCAAGACGGTTTCCAATGCGTAAGGCGCGGTATGCGAGGAGTTGCCCCTGACCTTATTGTTTAACAAAAGATGAGAGAAAAGCGATGGTCCAATGAGCATGTCTATGTTTCCAGGAACGGCGTAAGTGTCGTCTGCCAGAGTCAAATTTTTAAATTCAATCATTGCCGAGGTGTCAACCGAAACGGTTGGTAGACGTTCAGTAACTTTATCTACTACTAGTGCATTTATATCAAAGTTAACATTAGGATCTATCCGAGAATAAAATTTTAAATTTATATATCCCTGGGTAACTTTACTAGTACCTCCGATGCCCTTGACTACGGGACACGAAGGTCCCCTATATATTGACAATCCTAAGCGCTGACAACATTGTCGCGTTATAAAGCTATTTTGGGCTCCGCTGTCCAGCAGTGTACGGACGCTTTGTTCGTTTCCACGCGAATCCCTAACTACAATACGGGCTGTACCCAGTAAAACGGTTGAAGGAGGCTTTGCTCCCATATTTGTCAATGAGCACAGAGCGACATCACCAGGTCGACCGCTAGAATTGTTGACTTTAGTAGGGGTGAATTCATTGTCTGCTTTACTTGACGCAGATATGTTGCTATTTTCGAAATGTAACAACGTGTGATGTTTTCTGGCGCACTTGTTAAACGCGGAACTAGAATTGCATTTTGCAACTAAATGCTTATCTCTTAAACAATTCAGACATAAGTTGTTTGTCCTTACTATTCTATAACGTTCGCTGGGTGAATGTTTACGAAAGGTCGCACAATTGTATAAATTACCGTGTTGTTTATCTTTACATAGGATACAGGCATTCGGGGGTGGTACCGACGCAGCGGTTACGTACGTTAACGACCCTGCGGTTTTAGATGGTTGAGTCTGTCTACGGTCGACGCATTTCTTAACTTCCTGTTTAACGTTTGAGGAGCGCTGCATCACTTTAATTTGGTCTCGCACAAACGATGCTAATGAATCAAAGGGGGGCATCTCAGAGCTACGATGCTAAATTTCAAACGCACGCATGGTGTCGGGGTCTAGTTTCTTTAGTGCAATATGGAGAAACACCACGTCCATAAGGTCATTAAATTTCAAGTTCTTAAGTGCAGGCACCGATGCCACAAATTTATCTAAAAACTGTTCTAAGCCGTTGATGTTCCCGGATGATATAGGTTTAAGGTCGAATATCTGGTTTAAATATTCGGAAGCTAACATTTTCTTATCTTCATATTTGGTTTTAAGCGTTTCGAATATTAACAAATAATTGTTTGCTGTTGGTGTGAAACCCGAGCAAATTGACTGTACCCTGCCAATCAGTTTACTAATTAAATAATATAATTTTTCAGCGTCCGATAACGATGGATTATTATGTATATTGTTTTGAAAACCACTGAAGAAGAAGGGCCATGTCTTAATATTGCCATTGAATACCGGAATATCTATTGGGGGCAACCTAATCGAATCACGTGTGCGTACCTGGGCTTCCGGCTTTGCTTCGCTTTGAGATGGGGACTGCAAGAGCTTCGCCGTTCTTTTCACGCGACGCAACATATCTTCAAATGCTAGAAGCGGTTGATAGTTCACTGTATATTTAGGGTCGATTTGTAATTCAAAATTATTAATTTGGTCTAATACCCTTTCATAATCCGTCCGCAAAGAGTCCATCGTTTCAATTTCACACAAAAACGTTTCCCGCACTGCTTCTACGTTAATGTTCTTTACGTGATCACTAATATACTGTATACGTGAAAAGAGTACGTCCCTCTTGGCGTAAAGAGTTTTAAGTTTAATTTTATTTCCACTAACTGCCATTTTAAATTATTATAATTAATATTAGATTAATCAAAATTAATCGCACAACACTGGAGGATGGACACGCGTGCCGTATTACGTCGTTAAATTGAACGCCTTTATAACGGGCCGAGGTGACGCATGTGGCTCGCTAAACTCAATGTTTTTTCAAATGTCGTGTAATCGCATAAACCGTGCGGGATTAAACTGTTTTAAAATAACTAAACAAATACTATTTAAATGAAAGAATTCTATTTGCGAATAACTAACCAAAGTTTAAATTTAAACTAAACAAACACTATTTAAATGAATGAATTCTATTTGCGAATAACTTACCAAAGCTACGTCCCCTAGTGGCAAGATACTGCTCGATATCACGCAATCTCTTGATATTACCGTCCATAGTCCCCTCGGTGTTACTCACTTTCCCGATAATACCGATCACGCCCCCGATGTACTAGATTTTGCGTTACTCCAAGGAGTTTCTCTCAACCTCAGAGCAATCGAGACACTAGACGATCTAGGATCCGATCACCGATCGGTCTCCCTCATTCTTGGCCATCAGCCACCTCCCCCAACACACACGAAAACCTTCACTAATTGAAAGGGATTCAAGGAGTCCCTAGCTAAAGCTCTGGACTCACAGGACTCTACCATCTCCCTACCGTCGGACTTAGACAGTCCCGAAAAAATCGACAGTGCGGTCGACTCACTCTGCACCCTTATTAAATCCTCCCTGAAGGAGAACGAAAGGGTCGTCCCGGTTGCTAACAATAGTAGGCTTTCCCTACATATTAGCAACCTATTAAAAGCCAAAAAAAGCTGCTTTCCGGAGAGCAGCAAAATATTCCACCCCCGAATATAGGCGCACGGCCAATCGTCTTCAACGAGAACTCCGTTTCCGCCTCTCTGAATTTAGAGACCCCGAAAAGAGTAAACTCATGGAGAATATCTCTCCATCTCATACAGCGTACTATCAGATGGCTAGAGTACTCCGCACCCACCCACACTCCCCCCTCTCTCCCGTCCCGACGGCACGGTTGCCTTCGAGGACGAGGAAAAGGCTGAGTGCTTTGCAGATAGCATTGCTACACGTCCAGGCAGTGGAGGATGAGGTCCGCCGCCGGAACTCACCCCCTACAACCTCCGAACCTATCTCTGTGTCCAATGATGAGATTTCATCCCTCATCAAAGGACTTAAGCCTAAAAAGGCTCCGGGTGCGGATGGCATCTCCAACCAAGCCCTAAAACACTTTCCTGAGCAGGTGTTAACCTTTTTATCTATTATCTTCAACGCCTGCCTCAACCTTAGTTACTTTCCCACTACGTGGAAAGAGGCAACTGTGATTGGTATTCCCAAGTCAGGCAAGCGTCTCAACCTCCCCTCCAGTCATCGCCCCATTAGCCTCCTCAAGGCAATGGGCAAGCTCTTCGAAAGAGTCATCCAAACTCGTATGAGGCGCTATCTGTTTCCCACAGACGGTGACCCTCTTATCATTCCCCATCAATTCGGTTTCCGAGCGCAACACTCATGTCTCCAACAAGTTCACCGTATTGTGGAATATATCCTCAGCGGTTTTTATCCTCGTCGTCATAAGACCATCGCGGTCTTTTTCGACATAGCTAAAGCCTTCGATAGAGTCTGGCATACAGGCCTTATCTACAAGCTGTACAAAATAGGTCTCCCCGATCGTCTAGTACGTCTTGTGGCCTCTTACTTAAAGCATCGTACCTTTCGTTTTAGACAGGAAGGCACGCTATCTTCACAGAGCCCTATTAAAGCTGGTGTCCCTCAGGGCTCAGTACTTGCACCTCTGCTGTACATCCTGTTCACCAACGACATTCCCATCCCGTCGAAAGGTGTTCAGCTTTCCCTCTTCGCAGACGACACTGCTATTTACTGCAAAGGTATCTCGCTACCTTTCATACGGAACAAGGTTCAAAAGTCAGTTGACGACCTAGGAGCTTGGTTCAAAAAATGGCGCATCGATGTGAACCCGGAGAAGAGCTCCGCCGTTCACTTCGATTATAAACGACGCCGTCTCAAAAACACTCCACCAATACGTATGCTAGGGACCCCCGTCCCCTGGCATACGACTGCCAAATATTTAGGTGTCACTCTAGACACAAGGCTTACTTTCAGGCCCCACATCAAAAGAGTAACCCGTTCCGCACGTTTTTACCTGAGTAGGCTTAACAGTATGTTGGGCCGACACAGTAAAATGTCCCTCAGAAACAAGCGTACCCTTTATAAGGTCTGTATACGACCAGTCATGTCCTACGCGGGCCCCGTTTTTGCCCACGCTGACCCTAAAATTATTAATGAACTCCAAATAGTTCAAAACCTTTTCTGTCGTCGAGCTGCGAACGCACCTTGGTACGTCCATAATGCCGACCTTCATCGGGACGTAGAGCTCCCCACAATTCAACAATTTCTCAAAAAAATCTCTGAGAACATCTTCAAAGCCTCATAGTCGCACTCAAACCATTTAATTCGTGAGGCAGCTACTTCTGCAGCCCCACCCCCCTCTCGCTATCGAGTCCTCAGGCCGAGAAACTCTCACTCGGACCCGCCTAATAAACTATCAAACGACCTGTACTGCCTCCTGGCGGCTCAGGCCAACTCTAATTAAATTAAATTATTATTCACAATTAATTTGCCTTCGTAGGCACTCCCTCAGCGGCTCGCCCTCTTTTCCCAAAAGAGGGTCGCTCACGATAAGGCACAATAAAGCTTAATCAGCCAGTTGCCTGTCCCTAAAGGCGACTCAAGCGGTAGACTCATGACTCTCTGCGGCTAGTAGCCGCACCTCAAGGGAATGGGGTCCCACGTTGTGCGGCTTTCGGCCGCAGCCTTGAGAGTCTCCTCAGATTCTCCCTTCAGCTACCACCCGCTCCACATACCATCAATACAACGGCAGATATAGCCAAAAGGCAGTTATAAGATGTTAGTAATAATTTGCCATCGGAAAGGGTTTGTGTAACTGACGTCGGGTAATGCATTTTTGTCCATATTTGTTTCACCCACCAACAAGTTGTCTTCAATCATTCAAAGGTGGGAAAGTTACAGAGATATATTATTATATTTTTATTATATTAGTAATAGTACAATATTGTGATGTGTATATATATATATATATATATATATATATATATATATATATATATATATATATATATATATATATATATATATATATATTATTTATCACTTTTCCTATACTTCCCTTTTTAAAATCAAATTATATATATGTGACCAGGATAAATAATATATGTTTTGATCATTCTAAATGATCCTTCTAAAGGTTTAATAATAGGGCTTTTGTAATATTTTTGGGGTGATCATCTTAGTAAGAACCCTGATTTACGTTGTGTTTGTTTGGTAACTTAGTTCTTTTAGGTATCTTTTGGAAGAATGAATATTCACTAGAGAAATTTAAAGCTGTTGGTAGTGCCTTATAAGCTAAGTGAACCCCGTTCCCGAAGACAGGGCTCAAGAAACATTAAGAACATAAAACGTTCCTATTCCACTTGTATTCCCTTAGTAGGTGTGTAAGCACAAACATCGACCGAAGTCCCGCATGTCAATGCGTGTAAACGCCAGAAAACGAACAGTTATAGAATACGAACGAATCCAGCCACAGCGAATGTACGTCACACGGTTTAGGCAAATATTGTAATGCAAATTCATCATAGAGACTTTCTATAATATTGCTTTTGTATCATTGAGTTTATTATCATAAGTCCCTAATATAGGACTAGTCATTGTGCTACAGTACTTCAAGCAGTCGGGCTCCCGACCACCCCATATATATGTACAACTGCAGACATGTATCTCCGGCAGCTTCTTCATACAAGACATCTATACATGAACACCTTCCACAACTTAGGAAATTTTTTTAAACGTGAACTCCTTACATGACTTAGACAATTTTTAACAAATTTTCTAATTATTTTATAAATGTTATTTATCTTTATTTTTATAATATTTTCGGCTTTTATTTCTATTTATCATATTTTTATATTTTTACGAGTATTTAAGTCAATATTTTTCCTTTAATTTGCTATGCCCCTTTATATTGAATTTAATTATTAATAATAATATTGGGCCGTCACAGTGGAAAGAAAGAAAAAGAAGTCCTCCTTGCTCGGGTCCCCGACACTAGATGGCGCTAGTGCCAGGTACCAGACGTGAACTTAGACGCGCAACAAGACGTTGGTATTATTATTTAGTTAACAACAATACTAATTTTGTTACCATAGTTGATAGGGATCATGTGGGTGTGTTGTGAGAGAGCACCATCCGTAAGATAGTTGCATTGATGCTTCCTGTTACTTGCGGTATTGCGTCTTGTGATGGATCTGCGGGTATGCTGCGTTTAATTCGACGCATTCTTGTGGTTCTGGTCGCTAGAGGTATGCAGGTGGTGATGTCCGCTGGGATGTATGAGGGACCTTGGGATGGTGTAAGCCCGACGATAGTCGTATTGATGCTTGTTGCATTCTGCAGCATTTCGTCTCTGCGATGGTTGTTTGTGTTAAAAAGATATCATCATCATCATCATCATTACAGCCCTTCACAAGTCCACTGCTGAACATAAACCTCCCCCAAGTAATGCCACAAAGCACGGTCCCAAGCCACCTGCATCCATCGACTTCCTGCATATCTTACCAGGTCGTCACTCCATCTAGTGGGGGGTCGCCCTACACTACGCCTACCGGTACGAGGCTGCCACTCGAGAACCTTTATTCCCCATCGGTTATCGGTTCTTCGAGCTATATGGCCGGCCCATTTGCCACTTCAGCTTACTATTCCGTTGGGCTATGTCGGTCACTCTGGTTTTACTGCGGATATCTTCATTTCTGAGTCTATCAGGCAGAGAAACTCCAAGCATAGCCCTCTCCAGAGCTCGCTGAGAGACCTTGAGCGTCCTCATATGGCCAGCAGTGAAGGACCACGTCTCAGATCCGTAAGTCATCACTAGCAACACGCACTGGTTGTACAATCTAGTTTTTAGAGATTGAGGTATACCTGACGAGAAGATATGTCGTAATTTCCCAAACGCTGCTCAGCCGAGTTGAATCCGTCGATTGACCTCTCGGTCGAAGTTGGACTTACCTAGTCGGAGTATTTGTCCCAGGTAAACGTACTCGTCAACAATAGTGTACAATACATTAGTGCTCCCAACAGCAACCGGCATAGGTGTGACATGGACATTAAACATGATCTTTGTTTTGTCCATGTTCATCTTAAGACCTATCCGTTGGGAGGCACTATTGAGGTCATTGAGCATAGTGCTTAAGTCCTCCAGCGATTCTGCCATAAGGACTATATCTTCGGCAAATCGAAGGTGAGTGATATACTCGCCATTGATGTTAATACCGTATCCTTTCTAGTCCAGTAGCTTGAAAACGTCTTTCAATGCAGCGGTGAAGAGTTTCGAGGATATAACGTCACCCTGTCTTACACCTCTCTGCAGTTGGATAGGTTTCGAGCTCTGGTTCTGTACTCGGATAGCCATCTTAGCCCTACTGTACAAACACTTCAGCACTTCGATATATCGACAGTCAACTTTGCACCGCTGAAGGGACTGTAGCACCGCCCAAATTTCGACGGAATCAAAGGCTTTCTCATAGTCCACATACGCCAAGCGAAGTAGCAGATTGTACTCTTCAGTCTTCTGTACAATCTGCCGCAAAGTATGTATGTGGTCTATGGTACTGAAGCCTTTTCGGAAACCGGCTTGTTCGGGAGGCTGGAAGTCGTCGAGTCTGCGTGCGAGACGATTCGTAATGACTCTCGAAAACAGCACGTAGACGCGGCTCAGAAGGGATATCGGTCTGTAGTTCTTCTAGAGGGTGTTGTAACCTTTCTTGAAGAACAAGACCACCGCCCTTTTGCTCCACGCCTCTGGAGTAGTGCCACCATGGAGGACGGAATGAAGAGCTTCTGAAGGACTTCAAGTACCGGTGTTCCACCCGCTTTCAGAAGCTCCGCTGTAATTCCATCCTCGCCTGGGGCCCTGCCGTTTTTAAGGTGCTGGAGAGCCATTCTAATCTCGCTTAGACTGACGTCCGGGATATCATCGGAATAGCATCGGATAAGACTTGCTCTTCGATCGTTACTCACACTTGCGTGTGGCTCCAACGATGATGTGTACAGCTGCCAATAGAACCTAGAACTCTGGCAAAGACTTTGGAGCCCTGGTTTCGCTCGATCGCTTCTTTAATACGAGCAGTATTAAAGTTGCGTAAGTCTCGCCGCATGCATTTGGAGATCTGTCTGTTCAGTTGCCTTTATGCTGTCAAATCTGTTGACGATTGCAGCCTCATCTCCCGTCTAACAGCCATGAGATTAAGAGTGTGATCGGAGAGTTTTTGTGTTCTTCTGCAGCGGGTCTTGCAGAACTTAGCTCCGACCGCATGGACAGTTTCCACGAGCTTGTCATTCATATCGTCACTGCATTGCAATCTTGTAGGCACTGAAAGCGTTTATGTAACTCGAGCTGAAAGTTTTCGGGATTCTGGATTAGAGCACGAGGGGGACGGAGCGTTGACTTCATTAGACGAGACCTCTCCAACTTAACGTTTAGGTTCAGTTTGCCTCTAACCATTCGGTGATCGCTGCCGGTTTTCACCCTTGCGATCACTGAGACATCACTGAACAGCTGGCGTCTGGTCGTCATAATGAAGTCAATCTCATTTTTTGTCGAACCGTCGGGGCTCGACCAGGTCCACTTCCTATGAGGCCGCTTCTGGAAGAAAGAGTTCATCATAAAGAGTCCCTCTTTCTCCATAAAGTCGGCCAGCTGCTGGCCCCTTCGGTTCCGTTGCCTTACTCCAAATTTCCCTAACTTCAGCTCACCGTTTTCTCTTGTGCCTAGTTTTGCGTTGAAGTCTGCCATCAACACAGTGTAGTGGGTTATGGAGGAATGCATGGCTTTGGAAATATCCTCATACATTTCCTCCACCTCCTCATCGGGATGTGCGGAGGTTGGTGCGTAAACCTGTATGACCTTCAGCGAATACCGTTTGGTGATTCTGAGTATCAGGTACGCGACCCTCGTCGACACACTCCCAATCTTTACAACGGTTGTTGACGAGAGACTTGTGGACGATAAATCCGACACCTCCTTGGGACAGATGGTCGCCCACCCGGTGATAGAACAAGTTGCCGGATTCGAGAATCACCGTGTCCTCCCCCCTCTCTTCGGACCTCGGATAATCCTATAATATTCCAGCGCAAATTATCTATCTCTTTTTCCAGCTCCCTCTTTCCAGGATCTTCTCGTCAGTCCTCAGGGTGCGTGCGTTAAATGTTGCCAGGTCGAGTCGTCGTAGGTGGCAACCGAACCTCCACCGGAAAATCTTAGCGCCCCCTGCCCCGCCGTTACCATGGTCGCCACCGTAGCCAGGAATAGCGGGGCCGCCGGGGACTAGGGGCCTTCTATTTGTGTAATTGTTCATGGGGGGT